GGCCGATTTGCACAAGTGTGCGAATGCAACTTTCGGCAATGCCATTCTGCTGCGGTGCGGAAGAGTGAAGCCTGGCAAATGCCTTTGGAGGCACACAACGTGCGAAGGGTGTGATTGCAAAATTCTACACCACCATCGGAATGAAGGCACTTCACTGCTGTGCAAAAATGGTTTTGAGCTTGCCGAACCCATGCAATGACGGCATCCGGAACAAATGCTTTGGAAGAGAGAAGGTGGACGGACGCATAGCAGGAGTGATTATCAACGAGCACTAAAAAGTAAGAGTGCTCATCATGGGAGAACACTGGAGCTGGGCCCCAAACGTCCTTGTGGACGAGGTCAAGTGGGACGGCTGCAGCAGAGGGCGAAGTGGAGGATGGAGGAAGGGACTCGGGCAGGTGAAGAAGCAACTTGTTGGACGCAAGCTCGAAAAGCATTCAGAAGTTGGGGTGTCCGAGCCACTGGTGGTAAAGTATGGTCGGGTCAGTGAGCTGACGGCAGGAGCATGATGAGGTGGTGGAAGTAGAGTGTGCTTCAGTGGGAGATGGGGGCACTTGGAGTGTCTAGAGGTTGTTAGCCGTCATAGTGAAACATGCAAGGAGGGCATTGGTGGTTGGATCAAGGAGATCACAGTGATTTGAATGAGCAGGGAAGATGGTGGTGACCCCTACTTGTTGAGTCTCGTGTTGTGCGAGAAGATTGTGCCGAAGTGTATGTGGGCACGCAGCTGCCAGTGACTGAGCCCGATGGGAAAGCTCGGCATGGAAGAGTGAAAGAACCATGGGCGACTGTGGTGAAGCTGGAGTCAGTGCCTAGGAGAGAAATGGGTGCTTGGTATGGTTTGAAGGACTCTTTGTCTCTGAGGACTGTATGGGTTGCACCAATTTCCATGACTAATTCGAGTCGTCTGGATGGTGTATGTTCAGGCACTGAGTACTGGGAACTGGTTCATTGATCATAAGAATGCCAGGGAACAACAAGTTGAGACAAACATCAGGATGACGATTGTCATCTGTTGGGTCTTGACTATCCTGGGCTTCAACCTAGTTGAGCTGGTGCATGCGAAGCTAGTTGGGCAGCTTGGAATGGATCCCATTCTTGGCGAACCACTCGTTATCCTTCTTCTTGAAGTAGGTAATGAGTGGGTGCTTGGTGCCACCGCATACCTGGCCCACAAGCGGTCCCATCTTGATGACACAGGGATAAGGTGGGTAGCGATTACGAACTGGTGGTGCATTAGGACGGGAGGCCAGAGCCGGGATAGAAGCGCGGAGCGCATTTGCTCGAGCATGCGCAGTGTTGTCCTTTTCAGCAGAGAGAAGAGCAAAGGAGACCTTGGCAAAGGTTAGCTCGTCATGTGGGAGATGGAGGAATTTGGAACGGGTTACACTGTAAGAAGGAGTCAGCCCGACAAGGAAAGCTGCTGCAGGGGCTTGCTTTGGGAAGACAATGCCCAGTTGCTTCAGCTCTTGGTGAATCCCCTAAATCTCAGCGACATAATTTTCCATTCCAGTGCACTCCTCTAGGTGCGCTCGAAACATGCGGGGGATGAGAATCGCTACACCCACATCAGTTTTGTTGAGGAAGCGATCGTTGAGATACTCCCAATTGGCATGTGTATACGCATAGTGGTGATACGTCTTTACGAGCTTGGAGGGGGTGGTGCTGACGAAGACGCCGATGATGGCAGCATCGGCTTGCTCCCACACGTTGTAAGATTCCTCATACTTGGTCATATATTCCTCATGTGCCTTGGTTTCTTCCTCAGTGGCCTTGGCCAAGTGCTTGTTGGGAAGGACCGGCATCTTTCCTTTGTTGCGATTGAGAAGGACATCCTTGAGGCAAATCCCCTCAATCTTGCGGCTTCGGAGATGCTTGTCAACCCCATAGCTCCACTCCTTTAAGTTGGGGCTTGAGCCATTGGGGTCAAGGCACAAGGGAGCGATTGGATTCGAGAGAGACGTGGAGGGGTACGCCATGATGCTCCAAGAACCCCTTCTCTTCGCGCCGCACATCTCCGAAGTCTCCAATAGGATTTTCTTAAGTCGCGTAGCACAACTCTTAAGTCGCCAAACAAGTTGCGCGCAGCACGGGCTCCGCGAAAAACAGGATTTTGGTCTGCGGATTTTCAACGCTCGGAATGTGAAACCGACGGATCTAGGAAGAAAAGTTGATCGATTGAAAAACGCCAAGAAATGGCAATCGGCTTACTGCAGTTCCGCTTCACCGCAGCCCCCCTTGTTGCTTCGCTGCTGCCCGCTTTCCGCTACACCGCTGCCCCCTTTCCACTTTGCCGCTGCCCCCATTCCTCTTTGTTACTGCCCCCTTTCCGCTTCGCCGCTGCCCCCCCCTGTCGTTGCAAGAGCAACGAGCAGCAGCCCGTTCAGCTTCGACGAGCAGATGCAGGGCAACGAGCGACGGCCCGTTCGGCTTAGACGAGCAGATGAAGGGGCGACGGGCGACAGCCCGATCAGGTACAAAGCGCAGATGCAGGGCGACGGGTGGCAGCCCGAGGCGAAGTGGCGCGTGGATGCGGGGCGCCGGGCAGAAATCTAGTGATAAGAGCCGGAAAGCACGATCACTAGATCTGAAGAGAAAAACGCACCCAAGAGTGTGACGATAAGGGCGAAGACAGAGGTTGTGCGAACAAGAATGCACAAGCGAGGCTCCATGAGAGCGAGAGGATCATGAGCCGCATAGGCGGGAATGATGCTCTGATACCATGTCAGAAAATGAGAACTTGATTGATAGAATGAGCAAGAGCATTACATGCTTAAGTACCTGGCATTGGAGATGATTGGAGGGGATAAGGGAGAATCGGAGGGGATCCCAAGGGAATTCTCCCAAATCGTGGGGATTTTGGATGGATTGGGTTGGGATAGGTTGGGGATGAAAAAGCTACACCCAACCTAACAAATATTCCTAACCCTAAACCAACAAATTACTAGTACGCAAAAGTTCGCACTAACCAAATTGGAGCCTGCCTCCAACAGCAGGTTAATTAGTGTCGTCCTCACCCGCCCCCCTCCCCCCCAAACTGAAGTTATCAAGACTTTCCACTAGCGTATGCTATGTGGGAGTAATATTTCATGAAACAGCTCCTAAAAAATGCAACAATCGCAACCCTTATTCATTGCATCATTAGGGTGTGAATGGAGTCACGGCATGCCCGGGAGAAAACAAGTTGGCGTTAACTTCTATGAGACTTAAAAATATCATTTAAGGAAGTTTGTTCATCGGTATGCAGTTAATAGTTTTATGATTATGGATGTTGGTTGCATTGCTAATGAACACCCTGCTATACAAATAATTCTTGCACACTACAATCACCCAGACGAGTTCGTTTACATATGACTCTCTGAAAAGGCGGGAATATGTTCTACCAGTGGTCATAGAACTCCCATTCAGCCTACGGGTCAGCTCAGGTTCTGAAATTTTGTGAGCAGCGGCACTCAGGCATCTACAGCAACCCCTAACATTTCTAGAGTCATTGGGAAGGTTTGTGAGTGTGGCAACAATACATGTAGCTCGCTTGTTTTTTTGCTTAGGACTTGGAAGTGTGTGATACAAACATTTGTGTATAACACCCATGTACACCATTTTGGATGTAACCTCGTCTACAGTGATCCAACGTGGCTCCAACTCGGTCAAATCGATATTGTTGTGGTGTGCAGGTGGTCAACGAGTTTCAAGACAACCAGGCATCGGAGCAGCATTTTACAGCTCGCCAAATATGAATATTACACAGTTGGTGTTAATGTACATAGGAAGTGTCAATGTACTATAACGTGAGAATACAAGGTTGCTATTGCAAAGAAGGCACAAGGTTATATAGGGGTTGGCATGCTAGGGCAATAACCTCAGAACGTGGGTAGGTTCGGCAATGTGGCGACAGTGCCGGACGCGACTCGGGAAAGAGTTGGGCCGATAAATGAGGCCGAACGTGATGAGTCGAGGAGTTCGGGTGTACGTGCTAGCATACGATTCAGTAAGGAATGGAAATTCCTTGCACTACCCCCCCCTCCTAAACGAGACCGCGGGCATCGAAAAACATTCTGACACTGATAATACGCTGTTAAAATCGGGTGTGATTCTAGCTCAGCAAGTGGCACCCAACTGTCATCTTCTGACGTACGATCGCGCCAGCGGACGAGAAAATCAACCATCCGACGGTTCAGCTGCGTCGTAACCCGATGGCCGGGAATTTTCAAGGGCTCGGTCGTCGGTTCCTGCATGGGCATCAGCTCCGGTACACCGCATTGGCGTGCCAATTCCAACGAACTGGGGACGTAGGGCCGTACGAGGCTGACGTGGAAAGCTGGGTGGTGACGCCAATCAGCCGGGAGTCGGAGGTGAGCAGTGACAGGTGTCACCATATTTGTCACTTGAAAAGGCCCGCAGAATCTGGGTCGGAGCTTGCTCGAGATCGGCAGCCGCAAATTGCGAGTGTCGAGTAGGACGAGATCTCCCACTTTGTAAGTGACGTCACGTCGATGGCGATCGGCTTGTCGGCTTGCGACCAGGTTGGCTTTCCTGATTGCCTCAGCTGCTTTTTCTCGGGCGGCGAGAATGTCTTCAGCAAGTTTCCGGGACCGGGGCATGGGTGTCTTGATGTTCGGAGTAGAGGGTACCACTGGGTCCTGTCCGTTATTGAGGAAAAATGGGGACTAATGGGTTGTGGTGGAGGGCGCGTTATTATACGCGAATTCCAGCAGCGGAAGGGATTCCTCCCATGTCAGTGGGTCAGTACAGGTAGTCCAAACGAGTTGCCCCATAGTTTGGTTGACTCGTTCGGTCTGCCCGTCGGTCTGTGGGTGGTAGGCGGAGGAAAACTATAGTTTGGTGCCGAACTGGTCCCACAAGTGGCGCCAGAAATTCAATGTGAATTTCGGGTCTCGTTCTGAAATAATTGCGGTACGCAGTCCGTGCAGTCGAATGACGTTGGCGATGAACAATTGGGCAGTTTGCTCAGCTGTTAGTGTCTGTTGGTAGGCGATGAAGTGCGCCATTTTTGTGAGTCAGTCAACGACCACGAGGATGGCGTCGTTTCCGCTGGGACCGGCTGGCAGTCCTATCACGTAGTCCATTGTGATGTGTTGCCAGGGTCGCTCGGGCGGATCCAACGGCTGTAGTAGTCCGGCTGCTCGCTGATGGGAGGATTTCATGATCTGGAAGGCGGTGCAGGAGGACACGTACTTGCGCATGTCGTCGGCCATGTTCGGCCAATAATAGTTGCGCTGTAACATCTTCGTAGTTTTGTCGACTCCGAAATGCCCGGAGGGAGGGTTGTCGTGGGATTTCTATACTAGCAGGGTACGAAGTAAATCGTAGCCGGGTACCCAGATGCGGGAAGTATCGCGCTTATTAAATAGTGTCCGGTGGTGGTGGTATGCTGTTGATGAATAGCAGAGCAGAAGAAAGGGTCGATCTTGTAGCCGTGGATAAATAGTCCGGTAAGTAGTGGGCTGGTCTTGGCCACTAGTATGGCGGCTGTATGGGCAGTAGGTCGAGTCAGGGCATCGGCAATATTGTTGGCGCCCCGTTTGTAGGTGATGGTATAGTGGAAGTTCGAATCAAGGAAATCGAGCCATCGGATCTGTCGCAGGTTGAGATTCGGTTGGGCTCATAGGTACTGTAAGGATTTGTGGCCAGTCCGCACCGTGACGTCAGCGCCTGTCAGGTAGCACCGCCAGGTCTTGAACGCGTGGACGATCGCCAGCATTTCCTCGTCATGTACCGTATAGTTTTTCTCCGCGCCCTGCAGCTTCCGTGATTCGTAGGCGACCGGCTGTAATCCGTCGCCGAAATCTTGTAGGAGAACTGCACCGATGGCGATGTCGCTGGCGTCGGTGATGACTTCGTAAGAACAGGCGGCGACGTGAGGGCGATCTTCAGTTGGTCGAATGCAGCTTGCTACTTCTCTCCCCACCAAAAACAGTTGTGATCCTTGAGTCGGTCAGTTAGCGGGGCAGATAACCCAACCATATTATGTATAAATCGGCGGACGTAGTTGACAAAACCCAAAAACCTCTGCCGCTCCTTTATGTTGGTTGGCGGCTTCCACTCCTGTATGGTCTTGATTTTCTTGGGGTCGATTTTCACTCCTTCGGTAGAAACGACGTGGCCCAAAAACTCCAACTCCTGCTTAAGAAATTCGCACTTAGACCCTTTCGTGATGAGGTGATTCTTGTGCAGCAGTGTGAAGAATGCATCAAGATCCTGTAAGTGCTGCCCCCTGCTGCGGTTGTAGATTAGTATATCGTCGAGGTAGATGATAACGCATTTATCAAAGAGTTCCCTGAAAATGCCGTTCATGGTCTTTTGGAAGGTCGAGGGCACGTTCGGGAGGCCAAAAGGCATCACCAAGTATTTGTAGCTATCGTAGCGGGTGCGAAAGGCGGTTTTGTGACAGTCTTCGGCGGCGACGCGAATTTCATGGTAACCCCCTCGCAAGTCGTTTTTCGAGAAGAACTTGGCTCCACAAAGTTGGTCGAGTAGTTCGTCGACTCGCGGGATCGGGTAACGCGACTTGATTGTAATCCTGTTGAGCGCGCGGTACTCTCTGCACCTGCGGAATCCTCCATCCCTTTTTGGTGTGAACAGTATCGGGGCGGCGTATGGGGACGTGCTGGGCCGGATAAATCCCTTTGTCAGAAGGTAATCCAGCTGCTGCTGTACTTCTTCCAGTTCTGGTTGGCTGAGCTGGAATTGTCGCTGTACCATCGGTTGGGCGCCTGGTTCCAGCTCGATGTGATGGTCTTCTGGTCGGCTTGGCGGAAGTCTAGCGGGCAGGTCGTCGGCGTGGCGGAGGGACGGGTGGTGGGGGTGGCGATGGTGGTGGAGGTGGTGCGAGCGCTGGCGGTACCAACGAGGGGACCGGGGCTGATCTTCCGGAGCAGCAGCAGCAGCAATGGGGTCGCCTCCCACTGGGGTGGCCAGGCGGCTCTTGTGGTGGTGGCCCCAGTGGTGGCCCTCGTAGCTCGGCGTCAGGTGGCAGCTTCGGCTCTGGGAGTTGCCAGTACCAGCTCCATTCTAGCCCCCTTCGTAGCACAGTGTGTGGCCGTACCGGTCACACTGCCGCCCACTGCTACTGCCACCTTGACGACCTCTTCCGTCTCCGCTTCGGCCCTGCGCCAGACCTCCCCGACTAATCCATTCTCGTGCATCATCGTGTGCTGGTGTTTGAGATGGATATGGATCAGATTTACTTTTCGTTGCATGCCATGTATGCTGATAACTCTAGTGTGACCGGACCTTATTACCTTGTCGTGCCTAGTATAGGTGTGTGTCCACTGTGTGTAGTCTAGGATCCCCTACTGTATCAGGGTTAGGACCTCCTACCTTGTTTAGCCCTGGCTCTACGCTAGCTCCTCCACCGGATGACACTATCACTCCTCCCTCCTTCACGCTAGACTCTAGTGCGTCTGCCTGCTTCTTCCTCGACCACACTGCACTTACACCGCTTGCTGACCCCTCATCAGGTCCGGTAGTTGCACGTGACTCCACTATACTTCCCTGTCCGGCGGTTCCCTCAGGCTCTCTTACAGGCTTGCACATCTCCTCGTTCTCCAAGAACCTAGTTGGTGTCAGCTATATTCAAGACCTCGGCATCACCACTACGATTCCTGGTTACGAGCAGTACACGGTCTGTACCGAGGCCACCATAGGTTCCCCCATCACCATGTTCCCTCGGGACCCGGTGCTTGGCCTGATCACGCTGGACACTGCGTCCCCCCCGATGAGGGCGTCCCCCGAGGTGCATGCGTCTACCCACGTCGCTGCGGCTTGCTTGTGTCGGTCGCTCACCCACCCGTTGCTGTTGTGGGACCACCGCCTAGGTCACCCCTCACTCCCGCGCCTGTGTCACATGTCCTAGCATGGTCTTGTAGGTCTCCCTTCGTCACTCCCTGCTCCCCCTCCCTCGCTCGCGCCGCCGTGCACGCCCTGTGTCGAGGGCCGGCTGCGCCGTGCTCATCACTCCTCCTCGCTTCCCCCTACCAGTTCGCCACTACAGACCGTGCACCTGGTCATCAGGGGCCTAGCCCGTGTCCCTGGGCCACGTCAAGAGTGCTACTTTCTAGTGCTTGTCGACGACTACACGCACTTCACCACGGTGTTTCCCCTGGAGCGGAAGGCCGACGTGCATGACGTTCTTATCTCGTGGGTCGTAGCTGCGCAAGTCCACCGCGGCCTCCTTATATTGCGTATTCACTCCGACCGTGGCGGCGAGTTCGCCTCTGGTCGGCTTGGCCAGTTTTGTCGTGCGGAGGGCATCACCCTGTCGTACACCCTGCGGGACTCCCTGCAGCAGAATGGGATCGCTGAGCGACACATCGGCTTGGTCACAGAGGTGGCTCGTACCTCCATGATCCATGCTGGTGCACCCCATTTTCTGTGGCCATTCGCTGTTCACTTAACCTGCGGCCACACTCCCAGCGGCCACAGGTTTCGCCGACCCTCCTCTGGACCGGTTCCCTTGGTGACGCGTCTGCGTTCTACGTCTCGGGCTGCCTCGCTCACGTTCGTGCCTCTGGCACGAACAAGCTTACTGCCCGCACTGTCCCTTGTGTCTTCCTTGGCTTCCCCCTAAATGCGTCTAACTGACACTTTTACCACCCGCCGTCTCACAGTTTCTTTTACTCTCGTGACGTCACTTTTGACGAGTCTATCTCCTTCTACACTCGCTTTTCCCACCAAGGTCTCCTGGTTATCCCGCCCCTGTTTTGGGTTCCCACTCCCCCGGTAGCCTCTGCTCCTCTCCCTCCCTATCATGCCACGTCTGGTGTGTCTCACATCCTTCCCTCCCGTCGATTGTCCCGATAGAGGAGTCAGCTGACTCTGGGGGTCCTGCGGCTCTGGTTGCACCGCCTATCTCCACCCGGGTGTCTCCTCCTCAGCCACCACAGCAGCCGCCGCCGCCGTCGTTGCCGCTGCAGCAGCCGCCGTCGCCGCCGATGCAGCCGCAGCAGCACCCGTAGTCGCCGCCGCCACAGCCACAGCCGCAGTAGGGGTCCGCGAGCTCTGGGGGTGTGGGAGTTGAGGAGGATGCTAGTCCTGGGGGTAGTATCGTAGCTTGTCCCGACGGTCCCGGGGGTGGCACAAGTGCTGGAGAGGGTTCTCATTCTGGGGGTGCTGTCGTGGAGCTCCCAGAGGTAGCCGTGGAGAGGCCTGAGGTTCTGGCATTGGCGTGGAGCAGCAGCAGCAGTCGCCGCTGGTGTTCACCCTTCGCCTCCTGGGCCTTCCCTCCCCCGACCGCCAGCCTGTGCCTCCCCTACCACCGCCTCCTCCGCCTGTCTACGAACTGTGTTTCCTCTGCCGGACTTGTCCCCGGCTCGTTTCCCCCCTCGTTCTCCTCTTTTGTTTCCTCCCTTCTCTCCTGACCCGACCACCCCCCTCTCGGTGTGGTCTCATCGTGCCTCTCGTGCTCCTCCTGTATCTCCTGTCCAGCGATGTCACCCTATGTTGCTCCGCTCTCATGCATCTTGTGCTCCTCTTCTACCATCGCCTCCTTGTTGTCTCTCCCCCTCCTCTCTCTGACTTCCTCCGTGCCGCTAGTCCGCTTGTTCCTCACGTTCTCGCCTCTCTCGTTACTGACCCGTCTGTTCTTGTCTCCAGTCTTGACGCTCTTGTCGCTGCTGTCGTTGACTTTGCCTCTACCCGCCACCTTGACTGCGCCATAGCTCGGGTCACTCACCCTGCCCGTCTTTCGTCCGTCGGGGGTGCACCTACCCTTGGTAGTGACGTCCTAGAGGACAGGCAGTACGAGCTAGAGAGAGCAGCGCGTACCATCACTCTCACACAGTCACACTTGGTGCGTCAGGTCCTTCAGAGGTTCGTTCTTCAGTTCTCCTCCGCACAGCACACATCTCGGCCAATAGATCACAGGCTCTCAGCTCCAGTCCCTGAGGAGTCGGTCGAGCCTAGTGGTCCGTACACAGAGCTAGTGGGTTGCCTCATGTACTTGATGACTTGCACTCGTCTAGATCTCGCATACCCTCTTAGCATCATGGCTCGCTTTGTGGCGACAGGCAAACATTGACCACAGCACTGGTCGGCCGCTAAGAGGGTTTTGCATTATCTAGCAAGTACATCGGACATTGGGCTAGTGCTGAGAGGACGCAAGCCAGTTGTCCTTACAAGGCAGACAGATGCTTCGTGGGCGGACGACGCTGAGATGCTCAAGTCCTCCAAGGGCTACTGCTTTAGCCTTGGTGCATGCGCCATCTCGTGGTGGTCCACCCGCTCGTCATCTGTTTCACAGTCTAGCTGTGATGCTGAGATCTACGCTGGTTCCATGGCGGCACAGGAGCTCCGCTGGCTGACTTCCTTGCTTACAGAATTAGGTGAGCGGCCTAGCTCTGCCCAGGTCATGTATGCTGACAATAGGGCCATGATCATCCTGTATCAGGAGCCTCGATTTGAGGGCAGAGCGAAGCACAACCAGCTGCGGTAATTCCTCCTGCGCGAGCTACAGCAACGCCACCAGGCCCGCGTAGTACACTTGGCCTCTGGTGCCAATACATGTAATATCTTTACTAAGGCGTTTGCGCCTAAAGATCATGAGCGACACTGTGTACAGCTTGATCTTGTTCTAGTAGCTCCTCACTTGCTAGGATTTTGATTGTGTACTACTCTTTTATATATTCTCCTAACTGGCCTTGTGGCTTCTGTTCTAGTGGCCGGACTAATAGTGCCGCCACGGTTTGCTCTTGTATAGTTTGTACTCTTCTGACTGTTCTTCCGACCCTTGCCTCAGATGCTGGACTAGTAGTGCCACCCTAAGTTGCGTGTCTCTTGCCAGGCACTGCCCCTTGTCTAGCCTAGGGGATGTGTCAAACATATATGCATATGTTATTATTTGTTAGATACAGTAGGTGCATGCTCTTATAGAGTACAACTCACTAGCACAAAGTCATCCTATACACTCCATTTTAACTAATGCTTTATTATGAGATTATACTCCATATAATTTGAACCCTAGCAAGGCTATAGTTTATATATACCGAAATATATATATATGAATGAACATTAATAGTTAGGTGCTTCTCTTGCTTGTGCTTTTTAGCTTTGGTCTCAGTAGGAATAATGTGGGTATGTTTCTGATGACTTAGACTTCCTTATGCTCTTGGTGCTCCAGACTTTGTTGATGTGGCTGCGAAGTTGGCATCTTTTGTGGTTTTGTTTATTTGAAGTGTGGGACCTAACTCGTCTAAACCAGGGCAACAAGTATATAATGTAATCACCTGGATATAGGCGCGACCATTTATCAAGCATAACGGGCTTATTTGAGTGCAAACATGCTAATATCCATTATTTTATTATAAGCACACCTTTTTAAAAGAACATTAAAAACGGAAAATAAAAAAATGGGAAATTTTATTCCCTATAGGCGCATTGAATTACTATTAAAAAACGGGTGAATGGTGAAACTTCCATATCGAAACTTTGTGCCATACTTCCCGCAGCACTCTCGCACCCCTCCCAAATACCTCGCCAGCCAGATTCCTGTGTTTCCGATCACTATCATGCCTATGATTGGTCCATATCCTACCTTCCCAGCATAGTTGTGCTGGCGAAACTTTCGCCGAAACTTTCGCCAGATATTCCGCGCGATATTTCTGCACGTCCCCTTTTGAAGACAGTTGTATTGGAACCCAAATCATCCCAGCTACATTTTGGTGTGTTCAAATTATTTTTTCCATATAGTCTTTCGTATTAGCGCATGGGCATAGATTTTTTATCCGGTTACAAGAGCATGCTGCGTTTTGAACCTAATCCCTATAAGCTCATATGCGCCTATATCCGGGTGATTTCGGTAACTGAATCGTTATGTTCTACTATAACTGAGCTGTATCTGTGCTGTTCTGTGAGGGAGGGCCCGCAGGTGCCATCGCCATCCCCGCCGACAAGTTCGCGTAGTGGGTGAGCCGAGCCGCAGATGTGTTCTCCCGACACAGCAGGCAGAACCTGTCGGCCATACCTGCCCCTTGGTTTCGCCATTCTTCGTTTTCCACGACACCCACTCAGAAAACGAACGCCGCTGTTTCTGCGAGGCTTGTCGCACAGTCGCACTCCAGAGTTGCGCAGGCCCCCCAGCTTGCTCCGCAATTCCATCCCACCCGCTCCCGGCCCGCTTGGGATCGCTGGCAGCCTACGAGAGGGGGAATGGGCACGGGGCGGGTGGGTGGTGCAAGAGGGGGCAGCAGCCTGCATGCGGAATGGATCACTGCCATCGCCTTGCTCAGTACCTGTCTCGTCGACCCTTCCGCCGTTGAGAGCTGTTGATCATTCAGCTCGCCAAATGATTCGGTCCAAGGGAGGTTTCAGCAGAGGTGCGTATGCAAGTCCCGTGCCCTTTCTGAGCACCACGGCGATCATTATTTCCACGGCATTCTCGGACTTCCTTCCCGTTGCGCGTACGAACGGCGCGGTTCTTCCTTGGAATTGTCAGCGATTCGCCACGTCAGAGAAGACGATCACCGCCTGGCCAGCGGTGTGGCACGGTGGAGAGCCGCCGCCATTTGATAGCCTTCAACGCTGCGGCGTCCCCATCGATATAGTCGCATACGCGATCCGCTAGTACAAGCGCAGTGAACCCCTGTAGGTGCCTGCGTTGGTGTCATCGGGCGACTGTCGCTCGTCGCCTGGGCATCGAGAGAGTGGCGAGGCGCGAGTGCGACAGTAGCGATGGGCGCTTCGTCGCGACTCGACATCCCCGAGGCAACGGCCGGCACGGATGGCGCGAGCAAGGTACGCGCGGATGGCGCGAGCAAGGTACGCGCGGATGGCGCGAGCGAGGTACGCGCGGATGGCGCGAGCGAGGTACGCGCGGATGGCGGAGCAGCCGCTGGGCTGGCGGCAGTGTTGGAGGGGCGGGGGCGGGCACATGACGAAGAGAAACGGCCATGCGTCCGCCTTGAGTGGACCGCAGCAGCTGCGATGGGTTGAGATGGGTGGAGATGGTGAAATTTGGGCTCTGGGGGCTGGGCGCGGGTTGACAGGACAAGTACCGGAGATGTCACAGCAGCCGTCGCACGGGGCGACTTTCTCTCCTCAGCCTCACCGTTCGTTCGCCCGTCGCCCCGTCTTGCGTTCCGCGTGCCCCGGAACAGGTTCGCCCGCCGCCCCTCGCTCGCCGTCACATACCCTTCCCTTCCCCACTGCCCACTGCCCACTGCCCACTGCCCACTGCCCACTGCCCACTGCCCACTGCATGCCACACACGCCTCGTCGCCTGCCCCACATGCCTGATCTGCCCACCGGGGTCCCTTGGCTGCTCTTTCTTCCCTTCACCCTTCACTTCCCCGCTCCTCCCTTCCCTTCCGCCGCCACTTGAAGCACCCATTTCTTGCTGGCAGCGCAAGCCGTGCTGTGCTACTGCCGCCGATGGCTGCCCGCCGCTCCCCGCTCATCTCCCCCAAACCTACCCCCTCTCCCCCCCCTGCCCCCCTTTCGTGCACCCGCCAGGCGCAGCTGCCATCGGACGCGGAGCAGCAAAAGCGCGGGGGGCGGGTGACGTGGGGGCGCGTGGTGTGCTGCTCGCTGTGCGCGCTGCTGCTGCTGCTCGCCGTCGCTGTGGCCGTGGCCGTCTCCATCTTCGTGCTGTACCAGCCCATGGTGGGTGCTGTACCACCCCATGGTGGGTGCTGTACCACCCCATGGTGGGTGCTGTACCACCCCATGGTGGGTGCTGTACCACCCCATGGTGGGCGGTACCATGGTGTGCATGGTGATGTGGCGATAATGATGCTCCAATGCGTGTGCATGATCAACTTAATGTTTCTTGTCGTGTCCTCCGCTTCTCCTCCTACTACTCCTTGCCGCTGTCCCACGGGCACCCAGCACACTGCAGCATGGGCTCCCAGAGCACCTAGGCGCTGCATGTGCCCCGTGAGGCCTGCTTCCCTTGCATGCTCGCCACGTGGCCTCTCCCTCGTCTTGCTGCCCCAACACGCTCTTCACCATGCGCACCTCATCCCTGCCTCTGCTCTTGCTGCTCGCACCACTCGCCCGTGCGCCCCTCCCGCCCACCCCCCAGGCGCCCGAGTTCACGGTGACGCGCATCACCATCGCGCACATGGCGCTCACCCCGCTGCTGCCGCCCACACCGCCCTCATCATTGCCGCTGCTGCCAGCCACCGCCCCCGCCTCCTTGCCCCCTCCTAATGTCCCCCTCCCCGGCAACACATCGCTGCCCGGCAACCTGTCCCTGCCCTCCTTGACCGCCCCGCTGCCGTCCAACTTCACCCTCACCACCGCCCAGCTCGCTGCTGCCGTCAACGCCACTGCTGCTGCCGCCACTCTCCCCGCCAACTCCACCTCTCCGCCCTCCCCTGCTGCCACTGCTGCCGCCGCTGCCGCCTCTAGACTCATCTCCCCTCTCGCCTCATCCCCTTTACTGACATCCCCGCTACTAGCCAATGCAAACCTGACGATCAACGCGCCCCCAGGCACAACGCTGGTTGGGCTGCTGGCGGCGCGCGAGGCGGAGCTGGACGGCGCGCTGGACGTGGCGGTGGTGGCGGGCAACCGCAACCACGTGGGCATCTCGTATGAATACGTCAGCATCCTGGCGCGCTTTCAAGACAAGGACGTCGGCAATGCATCGGTGCGTTGGTAACGGCGCATGGCATGAAGGTTACAACTGCAGTGGCGCATGGCATGAAGGTTACAACTGCAGTGGCGCATGGCATGAAGGTTACAACTGCAGTGGCGCATGGCATGAAGGTTACAACTGCAGTGGCGCATGGCATGAAGGTTACAACTGCAGTGGCGCATGGCATGAAGGTTACAACTGCAGTGGCGCATGGCATGAAGGTTACAACTGCAGTGGCGTATGGCAGTGTTTGCACAAGGACGAGGCTAAAAGACAGGGTCAGTAACGGATCTCAGCGTTGTAGTCGGAGGGAGTTTGTCCCTCTCAGTCCCTTGCTCCTTCCTTCCGAACGAAAACCATCATCCGATTCCTCGTCTCTTAAAAGCCCACATTCCAATAGACGGTTTGACACAGTCAACGGGTTCAACTCTTCAGTTGACTGGCCGGGGCTCGACTCACCTGGACAAACTTGGGACTTGTTCTTTCAATAAACCCATTACTCTTCCTCCTTCCACCTCCTTTCTGCTCTCTCCCCACCTGCTCTCCCCCTCCCTCGCCCTGCACGGCACCAGATCCCTGCGTACCACCAGCCGCCGCGCAGCAACACCACGGTGCAGGCCCGCGTGCTGCTCACGCACCTGCCTCTGCACCTCTCGCCCGCCGTCAACTCGCCCCTCTCCCGCCAAGCCCTCTCCGCCTACTCCACTCTGCCGCTGCAGGTGTGCCCCCCACACTCCCTTTCTCTCCCCCTCCTCCCCCCTTCCTTCTCCTTCCCTCCTTTGTTTCCTCCCTCCCTCCCGCTGTCTGTTGCTCTTGCACGTATCCTCCCCTCCGCTTGCGTGCTGCTCTCTCACTGTTCTCGTATATCATCCCGTTTCGTTAATTTCTGGTGCACTCCTCCCCTCCCCTCCTCTCGCGTGCCTGTTGTCGCGTATTTATTCTCTGCCATGTCGATAGCGCATGCCAGCGCCAGCACAGCAAAGGCTGCTCCTTCTCATTGTCTCCACCACATTGCGTAGAGCTCGCCCCCCAACCCCTTGTCTTGCGCCCATTGTGTGCGGCAGCTGGCCATTGAGGTGCGCGCCAACGTGGACGTGTACAACATTGGAACTCCTTATATCACGGTGCGTATGGACGTTATCTTCTTTCAGACAGTGTTGCCTTCATGCATAATGTGTTTTGCCATGCCACGTCCGTCGTTTTCGATGGCCCCTATCTTGTTGCTTCATGCCTATTGTTGTGCCTCCCTGTGTGTCTCTGGTGCCATTCCCATCATCCAGGTCAATCTAATGTGCGATTTGGATGTCAACATTGCACAGCAGAGCGTGAACAACACAAGATGTCACCTTGAGGGCATTCATTTGTGATCAAAGATGCTTATTGTGGATGATAGATTATTTATCTGTTGTAGAAAGGCGTTTCCAATGAGTCAAACAGTAGTCACGCTTCTTTTAGGTGGCGAAGCATGGTATTGTGGTAATACAGAATCATGCGTTCTTGTACTGAACGGGGCGACACGGCTCATGGTGTGAGTCGTCGTGACATCACTCAAGTGGAGCTTCGCTTTCAGCCTCCCACCCAAATCTCCTCCATCCCCCACAACACAACTCTCCTCTCCTCCCCAAGGCCGTGAAGGCGCGAAACTAGCAGTGTTGATATGCTCGTTGCCTAGCCTTCACGAATCAACATGTCGTTACCCCGCCGACGCGTCAGTCTAGGCCCGCGATCTCTGCGATCCCCGCTAGCGTGCTCCCGCTGACCTCGCCCGCTCCCTCTTGGGATCGCTTTGCTTTCCGAGCTAGCTTTCCGCAGGGCTCCCCCCCACTGCTGTCATCGCAACAGAGTTTCGCCGCCAAGCTCAGTTGCAGGCGGCTGTCTCATCGCCCAGCAGGTGATCTGCTGCAGTGGTGCCTTGAAGCCGTCCTTCGTCCTCGCGTCCCAACCCGCCCTCCCCTTCACCCACCCGCTTGTCCTTCTCTTGCCGCTCTCCCACCTCCGAGGAAGGAGTCCCTCCTCCTCCCTCCTCCTCCCTCCTCCTCCCTCCTCCTCCCTCCTCCACCCCCCCCCCCCCCCCCCCTTCCCGCCTGCACCTGCGCGCGCTAACCACTCCCCGTCGCAGGGTCTCGTCCCACTTCTGCCAGCAGTCCACCAGTCGCTCGGCCCCGCGGGTTTTCTCATTGGGACGGCCGTTTGGAGTCTCGCACCTGGGCGCGCCTGGCGGCAGCATGGGAGGCAGCGAGGAGCGAGGGCAGCGGGCGGACGGGGGCGAGGAGCGCCGGATGGGGTGGATGGCGGCAGTGGCGATCGGAGCCATCACTCCGGGACTTAATGTGAGCTCGGGGTGTGCTGACGTGGCATGGCAAGCGAACGATGCTACTTCTGCCGACAAGCTCGTCTGGTTTGAATTTTTACCTGAAATGACCAGCATACACGAGTATCACGGATCTGTGGCGCAATGGTAGCGCGTCTGACTCCAGATCAGAAGGTTGCGTGTTCGATTCACGTCAGGTTCAAAACCTGCCTTTTGTGAATTCTCCATTTTTCATCTTCTCCACTGTGCTCTAAGGCTTGGTGCTTCGTTTTGCCAAATACGCCCCCTTTCTCCTCCTGCCTCCCTCCCTGCCCTACCTTGTTCCTTTTTCGTTTCCTTGGCTTTTATGTTCTTGAAACACAGCAGCAACATTCCTCCCACTGTTATTCTTGCTCTCCCCTCCCTCTTGCCTTGTCTCCCTTCCTTCTCTCGCCTCTCGACAATCTTGCCTTCCTTGCCAACGACCTTCCCCCGCCCCGTGCCTCTCCCCTCCAGCGCCCCACGCTGGTGCTCGTCAACCTCGTTCTCGCGGGTCTCTTCCTCTCCTTTGCCGCTCTGCTGCCCGCCGCCCTGCGCTACTCCAGGGACCCGTCCAGTAGTGCCGCTGCTGCCAGCGCTGCCAGCAGGGGCAGCGCAGCAAGCGGCAGCGGGGGCAGCAGTGAGATGCTGCACCATGTGCTGTTCCTTCTGGCGCTCACTCTCCTGCTCATTGCAGCGCTCAACTGGTGGGTGTTAGGGGCTCAACTGGTGGGTGTTAGGGGCTCAACTGGTGGGTGTTAGGGGCTCAACTGATGGGTGTTAGGGGCTCAACTGGTGGGTGTTAGGGGCTCAACTGGTGGGTGTTTGGGGCTCAACTGGAGGGTGTTAGGGGCTCAACTGGTGGGTGTTAGGGGCTCGACTGGTGGGTGTTAGCGGCTCAACTGGTGGGTGTTAGGGGCTCGACTGGTGGGTGAAAGGGCTCGACTGGTGGGTGTTAGGGGCTCAACTGGTGGGTGTTAGGGGCTCAACTGGTGGGTGTTAGGGCTCAACTGGTGGGTGTTAGGGCTCAACTGTGGTGTAGGGCTCACTGGTGGGTGTTAGGGGCTCAACTGGTGGGTGTTAGGGGCTCAACTGGTGGGTGTTAGGGGCTCAACTGGTGGGTGTTAGGGGCTCAACTGGTGGGTTAGGGGCTCGATGTGGTGAGGGCTCAACTGGTGGGTGTTAGGGGCTCGACTGGTGGGTGAAAGGGGCTCGACTGGTGGGTGTTAGTGGGCTCAACTGGTGGGTGTTAGGGGCTCAACTGGTGGGTGTTAGTCGGCTCAACTGGTGGGTGTTAGGGGCTCAACTGGTGGGTGTTAGGGGCTCAACTGGTGGGTGTTAGGGGCTCTCAACTGGTGGGTGTTAGGGGCTCAACTGGTGGGTGTTAGGGGCTCACTGGTGGGTGTAGAGGCTCAACTGGTGGTGTAAGGGGCGCAACTGGTGGGTGTTCGGGGCTCAACTGGTGGATGTTAGGGGCTCAACTGGTGGGTGTTAGGGGCTCAACTGGTTGGTGTTAGGGGCTCAAATGGTGGGTGCTAGGGGCTTAACTGGTGGGTGTTAGGGACTCAACTGGTGGTGCTCAGCCATTGTTGACAGGTTGCGAATTGCATGCGTGCAATGGTCCCAAGTTACCACGCACATCCGAGTGCACAGGCAGGGGTCCCGATACCCCAGGTACAGCAGGGCCTGCCCCCTCTGTACGGTGACTGACCAGCGCTGGCGCATCTGGCTGAGCAGTTTCACGGACTGGCAGGAGCCAGGGTCGGCGTTGAAGAGGCGGCGCTGCTGTGTCCCTCTGCCCCTCCGTTCATCTGCCCTCTGCCCCTGCCTTTCCCTTTCGTGCCTGCCATCCCTCCATCTGACCTCCATCCCTCCATGCCCCAACCACCATCCCTCCACGCACCAACCACCATCCCTCCACGCACCAACGACCATCCCTCCACGCACCAACGACCATCCCTCCACGCACCAACACCATCCCTCCATGCACCAACCACCATCCCTCCATGCCCCAACCACCATCTCTCCTTGCACCCATCACCATCCCTCCGTTTCCCAACCACCATCCCTCCATGCCCCAACCACCATCCCTCCATGCCCCAACCACCATCCCTCCATGCCCCAACCACCATCCCTCCACGCACCAACCACCATCCCTCCACGCACCAACCACCATCCCTCCACGCACCAACGACCATCCCTCCATGCACCCATCACCATCATTCCATGCCCCAACCACCATCCCTCCATGCACCAACGACCATCCCTCCACGCACCAACCACCATCTCTCCTTGCACCCATCCACCATCCCTCCGTTTCCCAACCACCACCCCTCCATGCCCCAACCACCATCCCTCCATGCCCCAACCACCATCCCTCCATGCCCCAACCACCATCCTCCACGCACCAACCACCATCCCTCCACGCACCAACCACCATCCCTCCACGCACCAACGACCATCCCTCCATGCACCCATCACCATCATTCCATGCACCAACCACCATCCCTCCACGCACCAACGACCATCCCTCCATGCCCCAACCACCATCCCTCCACGCACCAACCACCATCCCTCCACGGCACCAACGACCATCCCTCCACGCACCAACGACCATCCCTCCACGCACCAACCACCATCCCTCCATGCACCAACCACCATCCCTCCATGCCCCAACCACCATCTCTCCTTGCACCCATCACCATCCCTCCGTTTCCCAACCACCATCCCTCCATGCCCCAACCACCATCCCTCCATGCCCCAACCACCATCCCTCCATGCCCCAACCACCATCCCTCCACGCACCAACCACCATCCCTCCACGCACCAACCACCATCCCTCCACGCACCAACGACCATCCCTCCATGCACCCATCACCATCATTCCATGCACCAACCACCATCCCTCCACGCACCAACGACCATCCCTCCATGCCCCAACCACCATCCCTCCACCATCCCTCCATGCCCCAACCACCATCCCTCCACGCACCAACCACCATCCCTCCACGCACCAACCACCATCCCTCCACGCACCAACGACCATCTTTTCATGCACCCATCACCATCCCTCCATGCCCCAACCACCATCCCTCCACGCACCAACGACCATCCCTCCATGCCCCAACCACCATCCCTCCACCATCCCTCCATGCCCCAACCACCATCCCTCCACGCACCAACCACCATCCCTCCACGCACCAACCACCATCCCTCCACGCACCAACCACCATCCCTCCACGCACCAACCACCATCCCTCCATCCACCCATCACCATCCCTCCATGCCCCAACCACCATCCCTCCACGCACCAACGACCATCTTTTCATGCACCCATCACCATCCCTCCGTGCCCCAACCACCATCCCTCCACGCACCAACCACCATCCCTCCATGCCCCAACCACCATCCCTCCACGCACCAACCACCATCCCTCCACGCACCAACCACCATCCCTCCACGCACCAACCACCATCCCTCCACGCACCAACCACCATCCCTCCATCCACCCATCACCATCCCTCCATGCCCCAACCACCATCTCTCCATGCACCAACGACCATCCCTCCACGCACCAACCACCATCCCTCCACGCACCAATCACCATCCCTCCATGGGCCAATCACCATCCCTCTATGCAACCAACCACCATCTCCCCATGCTCCAACCACCATCCCTCCACGCACCAACCACCATCCCTCCACGCACCAACCACCATCCCTCCATGCACCAACCACCATCCCTCCATGCCCAACCACCATCCTTCCATGCACCTATCACCATCCCTCCATGCGTCAATCACCATCCCTCCACGCACCAATCACCATCCCTCCATGGCCAATCACCATCCCTCCATGGGCCAATCACCATCCCTCCATGGGCCAATCACCATCCCTCCATGGCCAATCACCATCCCTCCATGGGCCAATCACCATCCCTCCATGGGCCAATCACCATCCCTCCATGGGCCAAGCACCATCCCTCTATGGGCCAATCACCATCCCTCTATGCAACCAACCACCATCCCTCCATGCACCAACCGCCATCCCCCCATGCACGAACCACCATTTCTATTTGCTCCAACCAGCCATCATTTCTCTTGGCACCAACTACCAACTGCCATCCCCTCACGTACAAAAAGGGTGCTTTGAGGCTGACTGGTGTTCCCCCCGCCCATTGGCAGGTTGGCGTGGGAGGTGGGTACGGTGTCGCCGCACTCTCAGGCACGAGCGCTGCTGTCCCCTCCCACCGAGGATGGTGCACAGCAGGGCGCACCCACGGCGAGAGAGGCAAGCAGCAAGGCCAAGAAGAAGCACCGAGCCAACAAGCAGAGGTCCAAGGGACGACGCTGATTCCCCCACCCCGGCCCCCCACCTGTGCATGCACCAACCATTCGTTTCCCCCATTTGTTTATCTAGCGCTGGTGCTCTTCCACTGCGAGTGCCCTTCTAAGTGCAGTTTTCCTCATTACAGTCGAAGTCCCCATAAGTGCATGGAATCCATGAAAATTGTACAGAAAGACAAGCTTTGGAAAAACGAAAGACATCCTGACCTGCAAGGACTACATGCAGCATGTGGTGAGGCACCACAACAGCTCTTGAGTGCCACGAATCAAACTCTCTACTGTTGGCAGCTGCCTCTACTCCCCTTCACAGTGCCACCTAGCGACACACCTTCACTTCATCCCCACCCAACCCCCCCCCCCCCCCCTCATGACCCCTCCCCCGCCACATGACCCCCTCCCCTGCCACATGACCCCCTCCCCCGCCACATGACCCCTCCCCCGCCACATGACCCCCTCCCCCGCCACATGACCCCCTCCCCCGCCACATGATGTCCAGCTGCATGCGTGGCAGCCCTAAGAGATTGCAATCAATGTCGCCTCCTAGCGCCACTCCTTGGCATATCTCAGGGTTCACCTCCCCCCCCCACTACATTCATCCCCGTCACATGATGCCAGCCCGTCACATGATGCCAGCCCGTCACATGATGCCAGCCCGTCACATGATGCCAGCCCGTCACATGATGCCAGCCCGTCACATGATGCCAGCCCGTCACATGATGCCAGCCCGTCACATGATGCCAGCCCGTCACATGATGCCAGCCCGTCACATGATGCCAGCCCGTCGCATGATGCCAGCCCGTCGCATGATGCCAGCCCGTCGCATGATGCCAGCCCGTCGCATGATGCCAGCCCGTCCCATGATGCCAGCCCGTCACATGATGCCAGCCCGTCACATGATGCCAGCCCGTCACATGATGCCAGCCCGTCCCATGATGCCAGCCCGTCACATGATGCCAGCCCGTCACATGATGCCAGCCCGTCACATGATGCCAGCCCGTCACATGATGCCATGCCAGCCGTCACATGATGCCAGCCCGTCACATGATGCCAGCCCGTCGCATGATGCCAGCCCGTCGCATGATGCCAGCCCGTCGCATGATGCCAGCCCGTCACATGATGCCAGCCGTCACATGATGCATCCCGTCACATGATGCCAGCCCGTCACATGATGCCAGCCCGTCACATGATGTCGAGGTGCATGTGAGGGTAGCCCGCCTGGGCCCTGTAGTCGAGGAAGAGGCGCTCCAACGCACTCACGTACTCCGCATGCACTGCCGCCACCTGCCAGGGGGGGGGGAAGGAGGGGAGGGGACGAGAGGAGAGGCGTGAGAGACAAGCAGACATAAGCGCACTAACACACTCAGAGTGCACCGCCGGCACATGCAGGAGGGGGAGGGGAGGCGGGAATGACATGGGATGGCATGGAGGTGCATGGTAGGGAAGAGAGGGATGAGATGAAGAGACATCAAGATACCTGCACTCACACACTCAGCATGCACTGCTGGCACCACCACACACCCGTGCACGGGATGAGATGGGATGGGATGAGATGCCACGGGATGGCATGGAATGGCATGGTATGGCATGGAATGGTGTGGTATGGCATGGGATGGCATGATATGGCATGGGATGGCATGATATGGCATGGGATGGCATGGGATGGCATGAGATGGCATGGGTTGGCATGGGATGGCATGGGTTGGCATGGGATGGCATGGGATGGCATGGGACGGCATGGGATGGCATGGGATGGCACGGTATGGCATGTTATGGCATGGTATGGCGTGGGATGGCATGGTATGGCATGCGATAGCATGGGATGGCATGGGATGGCATGGGATGGCATGGGATGGCTTGGGATGGCATGGGATGGCATGGGACGGCATGGGATGGCATGGGATGGCATGGGATGGCATGGGATGGCATGGTATGGCATAGTATGGCGTGGTACGGCATGGGACGGCATGGGACGGCATGGGATGGCATGGGATGGCATGGGATGGCATGGGATGGCTTGGGATGGCTTGGTATGGCGTGGTATGGCGTGGTATGGCGTGGTATGGCGTGGGACGGCATGGGACGGCATGGGACGGCATGGGACGGCATGGGATGGCATGGGATGGCATGGTATGGCGTGGGATGGCGTGGTATGGCGTGGTACGGCGTGGTACGGCGTGGTACGGCGTGGAAAGGCGTGGTACGGCGTGGTACGGCGTGGGACGGCATGGGACGGCATGGGACGGCATGGGACGGCATGGGACGGCATGGGATGGCATGGGATGGCATGGGATGGCATGGGATAGCAAGGGATGGCATGGGATGGCATGGGATGGCGTGGGATGGCGTGGGATGGCATGGGATGGGGTGGGATGGCGTGGGATGGCGTGGGATGGCGTGAGATGGCGTGAGATGGCGTGCGATGGCGTGGGATGGCGTGGGATGGCTTGGGATGGCATGGGATGGCATGGGATGGCATGGGATGGCATGGGATGGCATGGGATGGCATGGGATGGCATGGGATGGCATGGGATGGCATGGGATGGCGTGGGATGGCGTGGGATGGCGTGGGATGGCGTGGGATGGCGTGGGATGGCGTGGGATGGCATGGGATGGCATGGGATGGCATAGGATGGCATGGGATGGCATGGGATGGCATGGGATGGCATGGGATGGCATGGGATGGCATGGGATGGCATGGGATGGCATGGGATGGCATGGGATGGCATGGGATGGCATGGGATGGCATGGGATGGCATGGGATGGCATGGGATGGCATGGGATGGCATGGGATGGCATGAGATGGCATGGGATGGCAGGGGATGGCACGGGATGGCATGGGATGGCATGGGATATCATGGGATGGCGTGGGATGGCGTGAGTTGGCGTGAGTTGGCGTGAGTTGGCGTGAGATGGCGTGGGATGGCGTGGGATGGCATGGGATGGCATGGGATGGCATGGGATGGCATGGGATGGCATGGGATGGCATGGGATGGCATGGGATGGCATGGGATGGCATGGGATGGCATGGGATGGCATGGGATGGCATGGGATGGCATGGGATGGCATGGGATGGCATGGGATATCATGGGATGGCGTGGGATGGCGTGGGATGGCGTGAGATGGCGTGGGATGGCGTGGGATGGCATGGGATGGCATGGGATGGCATGGGATGGCATGGGATGGCATGGGATGGCATGGGATGGCATGGGATGGCATGGGATGGCATGGGATGGCATGGGATGGCATGGGATGGCATGAGATGGCATGGGATGGCATGAGATGGCATGGGATGGCAGGGGATGGCAGGGGATGGCATGGGATGGCATGGGATATCATGGGATGGCGTGGGATGGCGTGAGTTGGCGTGAGTTGGCGTGAGATGGCGTGGGATGGCGTGGGATGGCGTGGGATGGCATGGGATGGCATGGGATGGCATGGGATGGTATGGGATGGCATGGGATGGCATGGGATGGCATGGGATGGCATGGGATGGCATGGTATGGCGTGGTATGGCATGGTATGGCGTGGGATGGCATGGGATGGCATGGTATGGCGTGGGATGGCATGGTATGGCATGGGATGGCATGGGATGGCATGGGATGGCATGGGATGGCATGGGATGGCATGGGATGGCATGGGAGGGCATGGTACGGCGTGGTACGGCGTGGGACGGCATGGGACGGCGTGGGACGGCGTGGGACGGCATGGGACGGCATGGGACGGCATGGGACGGCATGGGACGGCATGGGACGGCATGGGATGGCATGGGATGGCCTGGGATGGTGTGGTATGGCGTGGTATGGCGTGAGATGGCGTGAGATGGCGTGGGATGGCATGGGATGGCATGGGATGGCATGCGATGGCATGGGATGGCATGGGATGGCATGGGATGGCATGGGATGGCACAGTGGTACGTGGAGACGAAGGGAAATCCACCACTCACGCACTCCACATAGTGTGGTATGCCATGGCATGGTATGGAGTGGTGGGCAACAGAGGGTTGGGGTTTCAGTGGCTGTGCTTTCCCCTGCACTGCGGAGTTTCCACCTGAGATTCACGCAAGTCAAAATCACCCTTTCTTTGGACGGGTGGGGGTCAGGGTGTCCCTGCCCGATGGGCTTGCCAACGACGACAGTGAGGGGCGTGCGCAGGGGGATGGGCGATCCCCACATGCCCCAGAAGAGGATCGGGGCAAACCCCATGCGCCGTGCCACCGCCCGGTACCATGCCCCCCCCGGCTTCCACCACCGGTAGGCAGCGGTCTGGGGGGGGTGTGGGAGGAGGGACAGGAGAGTGTGGGGGGTTGAAAGAGGGAGAGAGGAGGACGAGTGGAGTCCCCTGTACCACGCCATCTAGAGCGCTGCCTCCAGGGGTACTTGCTCGCCCTGGGGGGAGAGGCGGGGGAGAGGCGGGGGAGAGGCGGGGGAGAGGCGGGGGAGAGGCGGGGGAGAGGGTGGGAGACGGGAAAACGACAAGGGTTGAGGAGTTGAAAGAAAGAGGGGAGCATTGCCTAACGCCCTCCACCGATGCAATGCGCTGGGCTGAACAGACAACGGGGGGAGGACATGGCGAAAGAGAAGAAGAACTAGGGTGAGGGGAAGGAGAATTGGGGTTCAAAGAATGGTGAAGCACGGCAGAGGGAATCAGCGAGTGGGTGCGGCACGAGACAGCACCAGTTGACTCAGCTCAGGATGCTCGAGCATGGAAGAGTGCTTGCTTCGGCAGGCAAAGGCCAAGAGTGAACGTACCTGGCCGAATATAAAGCAGGGCACCACGGGCACCCCCTGCTCCAGCGCCAGGCGGATGAAGCCAAAGCGGCTGCGGACGAACGCCACCTGGGGGATGGGGGTAAGGGGCGTGAAATCACGGGCGAGAGGGGCGAGGAGCGAATGCTGGGAGGCAAGGCGAGATGGGCCTGACAGTAGGGGGGAGGGGGAGTGTGAAGAGGAAGGAGTGGAGTGTGTGCAGGGAGAGAGGAGGCATGTGACGGCAAGGGGGAGGAGGTGTAGAATGCGACAGGCGAGAGAAGCGGAGCTGGGAGTGGGATGTGGAGGGAGGGGGATTGACAGGGCCATGTGATCTCAAGGGATGCCAGTAGCACCTTACACGCCGTCTCCTCCCCCCCTCCACCCCGCACACATACCATGCCACATTTTCCCCCCCCTACATGCCATCTCTTCTCCCCACACACGCAACCTCCCGCCCACACACACGCTACCTCTCCCCCTCCGTCCCCCGCCCCCCACATCCCCACAGCGTGGCGCTGACCTCCTTGCCGGGTGCCATGAAGAGGCACTCCTGCACGCCGCCTGGCACGATGATCACGGGGTGCCCCCTCTGCAGCACGCGCGAGAGCACGGCCCGGGTGGCAGGAGCGAGGCGTGCCCACTGCCAGAACTGCCTGAGCAGCGGCACGCGGAAGATGGCGCTCGTGGCGCCCGCCACGCCCTGCGCGCACATGGGGTGGCGCATGAAGGCCGCCAGCCCCACCGGCAGCACGGAGTGCGGCTCCACCGCCACCACTGGGGGGGGAGGGGCGAGGGGATAGAAACGGGGTGAGGGGAGAGAGGCGGGCACACAGGCAGGAACCCTAGGAATGTCGCCTCTTCTTCGTTTTCTGCCTGTCGTTTTTCATTCTTGCTGCCACTGCCCCTTTCATGCCCACGCAGGAGCCAACATGCGCATCCAGTGGAATGGTCCTCTGCAGTGAATCATCGACACAACATACAGGGCATTGGCGAGGCAACAACCCAACCCAACAGGCTAACACACCTAACCTGCTGCCCGAGGGTCCCCGAGGGGAGGTCCCGCCCCGGCTGTAAGACATGGCGCAAGTAACTGATAGAGAGGGGCTCTGCCCAGCACAACGCCCTACCTCACTCCCACATGCCACCCCCAACACGCCCATCCCTCTCCTCCCTCCTTTCTTCTGGCTCCCCCCACCATCCTTCCCCCGGGTCGCACCATAGGGCTTGCCGAATGTAATGGCGCCCTGGTCGTCAAAGATGATTCGCATGGGGAAGTGGCGCAGCACCACCGGGTAGAGCCACCTGTTGAAGGCAGCACGACGCACCATGCACCATGCACCATGCACCATGCACCATGCACCATGCACCATGCACCATGCACGACGCACCATGCACCATGCACCATGCACCATGTACCATGCACCATGCACCATGCACCATGCACCATGCACCATGCACCACGCACCATGCACCATGCACCACGCACCACGCACCATGCACCACACACCATGCACCGTGCACCATGCACCATGCACCACACAAAACGCCACAGGGACGGGCAATGATGGGCGGATAAAGAGGGTGGAGCATGGGCAGGAGTAGATGTGAGCGAGGCGGGAGGGATGGTGGAGAAGTCCGGATTGCAAGCGCGCAGCAGAGAGGCTCCACGGTAAGCTTGGAATATCAACCCACAACTGCCTCTCGCGGAGCCAGCTCTCGCGGAGCCAGCTCTCGCGGAGCCTGTAACGTCTACGGACGTTGAAACGCAACCGCTGCGACTCTAGACAACACTCGTTTTGCCCAGTGGTTAGGGGAACGAGATGTTACAGAGCCAGGTGTCGCGGAGGCAGGTGTCGCGGATTTGGAACTGCAGCTGAGCCGGTGGGTGCATCATGGGATGGGATGTCCCCAACCCGAATCGACTCTCGCCAAACTAAACAGAAACTTCACCGGGCCTTGTGGATCGGACCTAAACGGAAACGGGCTTTAGGTGAGGCGAACCTTCTGTAAGCCTTGGCCATGGGGCCGTCGGGATCGACAGGCGTGACCGAGAGCGTGGCGAGGAGCGTTAGGAGTGCGAGGGCGAGGGGGTGAGGGAAGGTGAGCGCGATGAGGAGGAGGAGGAAGAGCAGGATGTGCATCCACCCCATCCACAGCACCAGCGCCACCCAGTCCAGCAGCGAGTGCTGCGACAGTGCCGGCGACTGCGGCGACAGTGGCGACTGCACTGGCGACTCCGCTAGCGACGGCGACGACTGCGGCAAATGCAGCGGCGACTGCAGCGCCTTACCATCCTCGCCTCCCGCCGAAGCGGAAGGCGCTCCGCCGCTCTCAGCGTGCGGATGACGCGCGCCATTCGCCACGCGCAGTGGCGACGCCATGGGCGGCGTGACGAGCGGGGATGGCGAGGCTGACTGCGAAGAAGCAGTGGCAGTGGAAGCGACGAGAGTGCGCGGCCAGTGCGTGCCAGCAGCGAGTCCGCTGCTGCAAGCGCTGGCTCTACTACTCGACCAGGGCTAATTTTTCGTTTTCCAGGACCCAGCGGTCTCAGGATTCGCGTCACTAAATACCCTGAAAAATCAGCATTCCTTGAGAAATCTCTCTTTATTTCAGGATTACTTTGACCTTTCAATCTGAATTTCAGAGTGTTTTTTGGAACTCCCTACATATAGGCGGAACCTGCGGGAACTTCGAGTACAAGCAGGACGGACATCCATGGAAGAAACAGAGAAGAATACAGAGTACACACTTGCTGCTGTTGCTGTCCCTCAGCACCACACCAAGTTCGACACTTTCCTTGTCAATCGCGACAGAAATGCGTACAACTTAGAGGGACAGTGCGAAGCCTGACTATCACAACCCCTTAAAGCGAGGGTCTCAAGTAGCACGAAACCAAATCCAAAAGGTTTGGTTTTGGGTTGACGATATTAGCGAAGCGGTAACAGAGCCCAACCAGCACCCCTCACCACACCTCACAATTTTCGAGACCCCCCCAAAACCAAAACCTTTGGATTTGGTTTTCTGCTTCTTGAGACCCTCGCTTTAAGGGGTTGTGATAGTCTGAAAGCCCTGCACTTCTGTAGTTGTGAAAGTTCGACGGGTCACAATTTCAGATTGTGTGGAAAATTGGTCAGGGCTGCAATGGGGGGGAGGGTAGGGTTACAATTCCAGCACGGGTAGGTTTCCATTCCAGTAGTCAGGAGTATTTTTCGCGCAGTCCGGATTTCTCAGAGAGTTCCTGGGAAACGCCCGGAATCAGTCAGGAGGTTTTTGATTCCGAAACCCTCAAAATCAAGATTTCAGCGGGAAAGACCCGGAATGTACCTGACATTCCGGATGTTTACCCTTGAACCGAGAGCCCTGTACTCGACCCATGCCGCCCCACCACCCTCTGGAAAGCGAAAGCATCGCCTTGGAGGTGCTGTGCGACGGGCGCAGCTGGAATGCCGTAGAAGGGCGGGAGGGTGAAACCGAAGGCGCGGCAGCGATTTCACCATCCCGCGCTTGACTTGGCTCTGCCTTGACCTGATGTTGGAGGTCAACAATCTTCCATAGTTTGGTTTCTGATATGATACAGTATCGAGGCAACTCGCTTCAATTGCTCGCCTCTCACTCGCTCTGCTGACCTTCTCGGGCGTGGCGGCTCTGCTGATGTCCAATGACGTGACTCGAGAGTGCTTCCATTGCACGGGGTCGGCCCCACCACCACGGTTCTGGGTGGCTCCTCGGTTTCATTGATTCGCTTGTCTCTGGAGTGTACTCTTTCATCTTTGTTCATTCGTACTTATGAGCTATAGAAATTAGCTTGGAGTAATGAGCGCAATATAATACAATGATGGATAGGTACAACAATAAAGCACATTCATGAGGTACACGGAATCATCATAGAGGCCTCCTATACCATCTAGTGACTGCATCTCTAAGAGTGACGCCTTTATCAGTTAGCGAGTCCCATTTTGGGCTAGTGAGTGCGCAGTGCGCGATGGCTGGAGTGACGAATGTGCTGACAGTGGGTCCCAGCTCCAGGTGAGCGGCATCGGTGTATTGAATCATCTGCCACGCCACATTCAGCACCGCCCGGTGCTCTGCAGGGTCACACACAGACCTTGCTGCTGCTGCTTCCACCCCTCCTGTTCCCCTCATCCCCTTCTCCCCTGACCCTCCAGCTGCCCCCTTGGCTTCTTTTCGCCTCCCTGCCCCACTACCAGGACTGTCCCCTTCCTCGACAGTGCTCGTCAACCTGTTACCCAAATCTCCCCCCCTATAGCCGCCTCCCGTCAGCACCCCTCCAGTCTGAATCTCCGCCAGCGCCGACGGTTCTTGGCGCCAGCGCTGGGTCTTGATGGACTTGAGCAGGTCCGTGCCGCCCTCGCGCGCGATCTGCTGCAGGCACGCCGTGGCCCGCGCCTGGTTGGCGGGCAGCTGGTTGCCCAGCATGAGCGCGCGGTAGTCAAACAGCGAGTTCACCACCAGCACCGGCGACGCCACGTGGCGCAGCGCCTGGTGCGGGAAGAAGCACCGCCACTGGTTGGGGGGCGGGATGGCTGCACAGGGGTGGGGGTGGGGGTGCGAGAGACGTGGGAGTAGAGAGAGTGAGCTGGCGAATGTAAGGGGTGAGGGGGTGAAGTGAAGGGCTTGGTAGGGGAAGAGGCAGCAGCACCATCGGTTGTGTGGGGGCTATGTTTGTTCAGGGGGGAAACGGATGTGGTTGATTAGTGGGAGGTGAGTGGTGGGGGGAGTGGAGGAGGCGGGGCACCAGAGGAGCAGTGGAGGACTCCGGCAGCGCGAGAAAAGTGCACTCACACGCAGATCATCAGACGCTTGACTGCAGTGCCAGGTGAGTCGAGTCGTGTCTCCAGAAAATTGCCAACACAGCTTTACAGCGAGAAACGCCCAGTGGACTAATGGGGAAGATCGTTGAGCAGAGGGACAGCATGCTGCCAACTGACTGCTGGCAACAACCTGGGACCAGCTCTGGTTCACCTTCACTGCGGTTGACTGACCTGCACCGCACTTGACTCACCTTGGCTGCACGTGACTCACCTTGACTGCACGTGACTCGCCTTGACTGCACGTGACTCACCTTGGCTGCACGTGACTCACCTTGGCTGCACGTGACTCACCTTGGCTGCACGTGACTCACCTTGGCTGCACGTGACTCACCTTAGCTGCACGTGACTCACCTTGGCTGCACGTGACTCACCTTGGCTGCACGTGACTCACCTTGACTGCACGTGACTCACCTTGGCTGCACGTGACTCACCTTGACTGCACACGTGACTCACCTTGCTGCACGTGACTCACCTTGGCTGCACGTGACTCACCTTGGCTGCACGTGACTCACCTTGACTGCAGTTGACTCACCTTGGCTGCACGTGACTCACCTTGACTGCGGTTGACTCACCTTGGCTGCACGTGACTCACCTTGACTGCGGTTGACTCACCTTGGCTGCACGTGACTCACCTTGACTGCGCTTGACTCACCTTGGCTGCACTGCCAGTTGATCCGCATCTGGTGCAGCCCCACCGTGGCCCTCACCATCGCTGCAAAAGCGCGCCGATTCGTGCGGTCCTCCGCGTCTGGTGGAGGGCACAAAGGTGTGGCGGGTAGGGGGCGCAGGTTGGGAGGTGAGGAGTGGAGGGTGAAACGGGGTTGGGGAGAGGGGTGTGGAGGGGTTGGAGGAGGTGAGGTGAAGAAGAATAAGGCGAGGTGCGAGCACCGCTGCCCTCAGTGTGGCGGCAAGTGCCCGGTGCTGGGTGCGGTGGTCGGGGTGTGGTGGCGCGGGGCTCGCACGGGAGGGCACCATCCCTGCTGCCACTGCTGTGGTGGGGCGCTCTACCTCTGGCGCTGTGGGCGCCACGATGCGCATGGAGGGCTGGCGAGAGGCAAAGGAGGAACGGCGCGCCGAGGAGGAACGGCGCGCCGAGGAGTGCAGCGAAGGGCGCGACATGAGCTCTCCAGCGCACCCACCACGAGCCCCGCGTCCACGATGCACTTGGGGAGCAAACAGCACACGGCACGCCACACACTGCACTCCCCACCCCTTGCATCCCAGGCGTGGGCACGCACCGACGAAGAGCCCCGCGTCCATGATGCACTTGACGAGCGCGCGCGGGAAGAGCAGCGGCATGAGGTCGCACAGCGTCACCACCGCCTGCCCGCCGGCCGAGCTGCCCGACAGCACGATGCGCGCCGGCGCCGTCATGCCGCGGTTGGCGCGCAGATCTGCACGGGCGAAGAGGGTGGGGGATAAGAAGGGGGTGGGGGAAAGAAGGATGGGGGGAAAGAAGGGTGGGGGGAAAGAAGGGTGGGGGGAAAGAAGGGTGGGGGGAAAGAAGGGTGGGGGGAAAGAAGGGTGGGGGGAAAGAAGGGTGGGGGGAAAGAAGGGTGGGGGGAAAGAAGGGTGGGGGGAAGGAGGGGTGGGGGGAAGGAAGGGTGGGTTGAATAGCGCGTGGAGGTGTAACAACGTGAGCAGCAAGCAAGTCGAGTGAAGCGGCGGTAGGGGAGCGCCCAAACGAGCGGAGTCAGGTGGCGCGGCTGACCGGCGAGGATGGCGTGGATGACGCGCCACCCGTCCAGGTGCACGCCCGCGCCCGCGCTGCCGTTCGCTGCCGCCCTGTACCCCGCGCGCCCCGCGAAGCCCCCGCCGTCGCAGTACACGGGGCGCACGAGGTGCCAGTTGTGGAAGACGGGGTTCGTCGCCGCGTCGGGACTCGTTATGCCGCGCGGGGGCTGGGTGAAGGGGGGAGGGGAGGGGGTGGGTGGAGATGGGGGGACGAGCTTGGCTGGGAGAGGAGAAGATGGTCAGCGGTGAAGAGGGGTAGAGAGGGGCGGGAGAATAAAGTGATGCGGCTACTGATGGGCGCACTGGACGCACTGAGTGGCAGGTGCGGAGGGACGGTCATTGCGGGATGGGGCGCTGTTGCGTCCCAGGGGGCTGCGATAGGGAACGGCTGCGATAGGGAACGGCTGCGATAGGGAACGGCTAGGATAGGGAACGGCTAGGATAGGGAACGGCTGAGATAGGGAACGGCTGGGATATGGAATGGCTAGGATAGGGAACGGCTGGGATAGGGAACGGCTAGGATAGGGAACGGCTAGGATAGGGAACGGCTGGGATAGGGAACGGCTAGGATAGGGAACGGCTGGGATAGGGAACGGCTGGGATAGGGAATGGCTGGGATAGGGAACGGCTAAGATAGGGAACGGCTGGGATAGAGAACGGCTGGGATAGGGAACGGCTGGGATGGACGAATGGGAGGTGAGAAACGGGTGGGGAAAAGAAAGTGGTTATGCCTGGTGGCGCTGGTGGGAATGTGGAGGGCAGGGCGGAGTGATGGGCGGTGGGTGCCCTCTGCGCCTTGCACGCCCGCGAGGGGCTGAAGAGGATGGGCGGGGCGAGGATGGGCGGGACGGATGGGGCGGATGGGACGGATGGGATGGATGGGATGGATGGGATGGATGGGATGGATGGGGCGGATGCATGAGATGTATGGATGGCATGGAGGGATGGGACTTGAGGGGAGATGGCAGTGGATCAGGCAGGCAGGGGAGGAGGACTGCTACTTGGACAGCGACTCACAGCGTCGGGGTCGCCATTATCGTTGCTCGCCCTGCTGCTGCTGCGGCTTGCGCTTTGCCCCGTTGGCACGCCGCCAGCCAGTCGTTGCAAGCCACGTGTGGACCCGAGCTTGGTGTTGGCGCGCTCTAAGCACTTCTCTAGGGAGGAGCACCAGCCGCCCCCCGGCAGGTGGATGTGCCACGACTGGCTGGCGGCGCCGTAGCCGGGCCGGTACTGGTACGCGGGCGGGCTGCGCGGGCGCAACAAGGGCAATGGGGGAAGGGGTGGGGGAGGGGGCAAGAAGTTAACGGACGGCCAGAAATTGGGTAACGGGCAATGCGGTCGTTCCGCCTGCGGCGCCCACCGCGACTACGCCGTGCAAGTGGCAGGTGCGTTGGCCACCACGCGCTGCGAGTGGGCAGGAGGGAGGGAAGGAGAAGGGGAGTGCACGCGGGAGCGTGTGGGGACATGAAGCACGGTGGAACGTTGTGCGCGAGGACGCGAGGGGGTATTGGAATCAGAGCTTCGAGATTGACATGGAATTTGGTATTTGTGCGCGTGGTTTTAAGTTTAGGGTCGTAACCGCAAACAGTTGCAAGGGCACAGAACTCATATCGGGTCTGCGCCAATGGGGAGGCATTGGAACGAGCCGTGTGCCCGGAGGGTACCCGATCTTGTTTCCGCGAGACGTGTGCGCCACGCCACGCCACGCCACGCCACGCCACGCAGCTCGCCGAGCCACTGGTTCGGGTTCCACCGTGCCGCCGCTACCCCGCTGCGACACAACCGCTGTCACATCGCTCACAACAGCTGCCGCGGCGGGATACCTCACCTGCCGTCGAGGCACTTGGCGTTGTAGGGGTTGCCGGGGAGAAGGAAGTACCGCGACTGCCGCGCTGCTTGCCCCACGCCAATGGAAGCCGCGCGAACCGCGGCCAAGCACAACAGACTCGCGAGCAGCACGCAGGTGGGCGAGCTGCACTGTTGCGGCCGTCGCAGACGGCAGACGGCAGTGCGATGCGTCCCCATGCGTCTTGCGGATTTCGAAATCACGAGAATAGTAAACAATACACCGTCACCGCTAGACGTGAAGCGTCTGCTCGCAGTTCATCACTGCTTTGCGAGGAACCAATGGACGGATGTGCGACCAAGTCTGAAGCTTGCGTGTCTCGCGTTCCTCCTACTCACGTGTCCGTCTAGCTTACTAGCTCACCTCTCACCGACCTGGAGCGTGGAAGGCCCAGCCCTTGGCAGCGGCAGGTTGCATGTGATCACTGGCTGTGTGGAGTGGGTAGGTCAGTGGGCAGGCAGACTCCAGAGTTGGTCCACCCTTGCCCCATCCGTCGCCTCCCTCCCCCTCCTGCCACGAATTTCCAATTCGCCCCGCGCGACCCGAACACCCAAGCCACCGCGACTCGCCCGCCAGCACGATGAGGGAAAACCGAGGGCACGAGTTGACAGCATTTTCAGAGGCTCGCCGAATTCCACGCAGCCATTTTGACGACTCACCCTGCCAGACCTGCGACATCGAGGCACTGGTAAATAGATCTCGAGTTACTGATATCAAAACCGTTATGAGTGATTGTAATTGTTATGACATAGTAAGTGTCAATGAAATATAACATCAGAATATAAGGTCGCCATTGCAATGAATGCACGAGGTTATACAGGGGTTGGCATGCTGGGGCGATAAACTCGGGACGTGGGTAGCAGGGCTGTCGTTATCAGGGTATTTTACCCCGATTCCCTGATTTCACAGGGTATTTGTTTTGCCAACCCTTAATTTTCAGGGCTGGGATTATTTTAACCCTAGCTCCTTCAGGGTTGCTAGTTTCTGAACACTTGGGATTTCTGGGTTTGCGTTGTGCCAATACTGAGTTTTCAGGGAGGAACGTGTACGAACCCTGAGTGCGACATCCATGTGGCTCACAACGCTGAAATTTAGGCGAAGTCCCTAATCTCCCAGAGACATCCCCCCCCACAAACAGCAACTATTGGGGCTGAGAAAATGCCCTTATGATCTTTCCAGAGACTAAGTCCAGTTGTAAAAGGAGACTTTGAGTAGTGCAGCGGAAGTTGAGTAGTTGAACCTTGTACTAGTATGTGAGAACAAGTGATTGATTAAGAGAACAAGCATACAGCAATATATAGAAAGTAGGAAAGTAAAGCAGTTGTAGAATACAGTTGAAGAGCGGTTATCGAGTCGCACAGCGACTCGGTTGTCGCTTCGGTTACCATCCTTGCAGTTGTAACGGTCAGTCGCAACCTCCAGCTGCGACCCTTCGAGTCCTTTCGTGTTCTTTGTCCATCCCCTCGTGTAACCTCCGTTGACTCGCGTACCCGTTACGACCTTCCTCGAGTGTAGTGTTACACTTCAGAAACGCTTAAGTTCTCGAGATATTTCCAACAGCAACCTAAAAAAATTAGTTAAGTCCTCTTGTACAAGCATTCCCTCACACACCAAGCAACCCACAAAAATCAGCTAAGTCATGTGTCGTACAGACATTCCCCCTACACACCCAACAACCACAAAAATTAGCTAAGTCTTGATAGGCAGTGACAGCACACAAAGAAATCGGCTAAGTCTATTGTACACACGTCCCCCCTCCCACACTCCTACAACCCATTAAAACCACAGGCTAGAAATAGCACACCAGCGGAGCTCTTGAAAAAATGTTTCGTTTTGGGGCAGACCCTTTGGTGCGTTTCTATTCTGAAATGGTATGGTACCCGAAATTGTTTGTAATGCGAAGTACCTTTGCTACGTTATTGGTGCACGACGATTGATTTGGCGCCAGTTGCTCGGCGAATCAAGTTGCGACTGACCGCTCACACGGCTCAGTTTTTTCAAGAGCTCCATGGGTGTGCAATAGGTTTTTAACCCGAGGTTTACCTGGGTCGCATTTCGCACAACCCATGTGGCTGTTCGGCACACAAGTTGCACAGTTCACCTCCACCCTAGTCGCGAGTCGCGGTCGAGGGAGCTTCGTAATGTGAAGCCTTAACACGTACGCCGAATACTTCCGAGGTACAGTATTTTTTTGTTTCGTTTCACCAAGTTGGCAAAAAGTCAAATGAGTCGCGCGCGCGTTTCCCGCCTCGTCGCACACGCCTCAAATCGGCGCCACTACGTTTCTATCATTGTTCAGCTGCCCAAAAACGCACCTCGCAAAATAGTGCTGGGAACCCGATTTTTTTCAAAAGAGCCATCTCTTAGAAACTTAGGACTAAAGGTTCTTAAACTTAGGAGGCTAGGTTGGCTAGGATACTAGTAAGAAGACCGCCATGGAATGGCGTGAGGAAAAACGGATTAGGAAGAGAGGGGAGTACAAGGAGGGGTTTGTACCCCCTACAGAAAGGTTCAGTAACAACCTACCAAGCCTATATTAAATTATAACTTATATAATTTTAACACACCCCCTAGGCTTGGTAGTGTCAAGCCCACGCACACCCCCACACCCACACCCACACCCACACCCCCTAGCCCAGCACCCCCATTCCCAGCAGCAGCCGAAACGACTCCGAAAGAGGGTAGGTCTCACGGCCCCTTGAGACGGCAATGGCGGCAGCAGCGACAGTGACAACAGCGGCGGCGGCGGCGGTGTGCGGCGGCTCCAGGCCTGCGGCAACAGCGGCGGCGCCGGGGGGCTCGAACGACAGAGGCTGGTGCGGCGGCCCCTGCCCTCTCGGCGGCATGTCCTGTCTCCTCGGCGGTGGAGAGGTCCCTCACATGGCAGTCATCGGGTGCAGCAAGAAAGGGGGGGATGCAGGGGAAGCAGGTGCAGGTGGGGGGGGAGGGGAGGGGGCGGGGCGAGGCGAGTCTTCAGCGACGCGCCATAAATGGCGCGGCGCTTACTGGCGGGAGGACGTCGTCCTGAGGGACGCTCGTCTGTGGCGAGCGGGCGGCAGGCCCGGCGACGCCACAGACGTTGCTCGGCCGGCCGCAGCCCGACGATGCCGTCGGCTGCCGCAGACGCCGCCACAGCGCACCGTCAATGTCGCAGCGGCGAGGCGGAGGGGCGACGGCTGCACCAAGGGGCCGTCGCGACACCTTGGCGCCGCGACGGTAGGCAACGAGGGACCGTCGCGACATCTTGGTGCCGCGACGGCAGGCAACAAGGGGCCGTCGCGACATCCTGGCGCCGCGACGGCAGGCAACAAGGGGCCGTCGCGACAACTTAGTGCCGCGACGGCAGGCACCAAGGGGCCGTCGCGACATCCTGGCGCCGCAACGGCAGGCTGGCAGAAAACCGCGAAGGCTGCGAATGCAGTAGGAGTACGCAACGGGAACGTAGGGAGAGGGTCCGGTGGACACGACCGGCTCTGATACCATCTTAGAAACTTAGGACTAAAGGTTCTTAAACTTAGGAGGCTAGGTTGGCTAGGATACTAGTAAGAAGACCGCCATGGAATGGCGTGAGGAAAAACGGATTAGGAAGAGAGGGGAGTACAAGGAGGGGTTTGTACCCCCTACAGAAAGGTTCAGTAACAACCTACCAAGCCTATATTAAATTATAACTTATATAATTTTAACACCATCTTCAAGAACGGCGCTCTTGAAGCCCCCCTTTGCTATTTTAGCCTGTGGTTTTAAAAAGGCTAACGGTGAAGTCATCAACATGAACAAGGTACTGTAGGTTTCGTAGCTGGCAATGTACCTAACCCTAAAATTTTAAGGGTATTAGCTGCAATGCTCCCCCCTTAAGGAAACTTTTCTTATTGACTGTGTGGTCAACTGAAAGTCCATCAAACTTTGATGGCCACGATCAATTGCGAACGTTTCGACAATTTTCAGCCGTTAGATGATCGCGTATGATTAACGTCCTCGATTCGAATCACGCCCATCACGTTGGAAGGAAGAGGGGTCCCTCCCTTCCAGGGTGCTGCAAGCGCGGGAGGTTTCTGCCACTACCCCATTCACCTCGATCCCCCCCTCTCCCTTCGTTTCGCTTCCCCCCTCCCCTCCGTTTCGATCCCCCCTTCCCCTCCGTTTCGCTTCTCCCATTCCCCTCTACTGTATTTCGACCCCCCCCCCCCCCCCCCCCCCCTTTCCCTCCCCGTTTCGCTTCCTCTCTTCCCCTATGTTTCCATCCTCCCCCTTCCCCTCCGTTTCGCTCTCCCCCTCCCCTCGGTTTGATTCCCTCCCCTTTTTCCCCTCATTTTTTACCCCCCCTCCCCTCCTTTTCGATTTCCTTGCTAGACATGATAGGCAATTCAGTGCAGCCATTGTTGAAGGCAAC